CCCCAGCCCCACCCCCGCGTCCCCAGCCCGGCACCCCGCCACTCCGCGCTGCAGTTCTTGCGCCGCCCAGTGCCCGTCACCCTGCTCTCCTGCCCTCTGGACACATGACCTCGAGGAGCTCGGGCCTACACTGTCGTGCGTCCGCGACGGTGATCTCGTCCAGGTTTGCGTGCACTTCCTTGGGCGTGAGCTTTGGAAGCTCTGCGTACCGCGAGACCCCTCAGCCCCGCACCCTGTCGTCCGTCATCAGCCCCCCAGCAGCCTGCTACCCGCTAGGCAAGAAAGCCCTTGTCTTCGGCTACCTGCTGTTCCCAGCCTGCGGCGCTGAGCACAATGCAGGTGCTTAGGACATGCCAAATACTGAGCTTTCTAAGGTGTTGGGGGACGTGGATGAGTCTCCAGGGCTGCTGGGGAAGGGACAAGTTGGAGCAGGAAGCCTTGGTCTTCTGGCGTCACACTATCGGCCTTGCAGAGGGCGGGGCTGCCTGGTGGTCCCTGGAGGAGAGCCCAGGGCTCCCAGGGGTAATTAGCGCCCCTGGCCCCCCTCAGAAGGCTGCTGGGCCCCTCCCCTGTGCGGGTCACTGCTAGCTAACTCTGCGAAGCCTGGGTCCTCAGGTCTCCCTGCGGCCTGCTCCAGCGGGGTGGAGCCACTGCCCCAGGCCTGTGGGCTCCGGCACCGGGACAGCACGCCTGAGCACACTTCTTTTTCTGTGTTTCAGTCTCAGAGGGGCTGGCGGGAGGGGAAGGGGCAGGGAGGGGTCCTGGGGCCCTCCCCACTTTTCCTGGGGTGTTTGTTCTCGGAGCTCCTAGCAGGTCTGCGTTTGCAGCCCTCAGCACGTGGAGGCCCTTCCTTCTCACTTTCTCGGCCAGGGGAAAGATGCCAGCCCAGCCTCTGACCCAAGGCCACCACCTGACCCCTCCTGGCCATGGCCAAGGGCACCCCCCCACACCTGTGTCTGGTTCCTGGCTCCCTCCAGCTGGCTACCATTAAGGATGCTTCCTCCTCCCTATCCCATCTGCTCCCTCGGGAGGAGGTCCAGGGAACCATGAGGCCTTCTTCACCCCAGGCCGGCAGCCAAGCAGGGGTCTGGAGCACCCCGCCCCTTGGGGACCAGGCCCATGGCCAGCAGGGCCTCCTGGCTGCCTTCGTGATGACAGATGGTGGGGGCCCTTACCTTCCTCCGCTCTTCAGCTGCCTCCAGCCGCTTCTGCAGCTCCTCCAGGGAGGCGTCCTTCCTTTTAGGGGGGGACGAGAGCACGGGGCTCTCCGGCGACAGGTCGGAAGGGGACTTCAGGATCACCTCAAAGCTCTGGCCAGAGGCCCTCTTGTCCAACTGCTTCACCTCCATGTCTGCAGGGCCAGATGAGATGGGGGCTTCAGGAGGGCCAGCCGTGGAGGGGGCGGCCGGGGGGCTGTTCCTATCACATATCACAACCAAGGGCTGATCGAGGGGCTGTGGCTGCTCAAGGAAGACCCCGGGCCTGAGCCCCAGACCGGCCCCTTCCCCCAAAGGGGTCTCTCCAGAGCCCAGCCAAGCCAAGGGGTTGGAAGGGCCACTGGAGGGGAGCAAGGCACTGGCGCGCACTCACCCCCGTACTGGTAGATGGTGTTGGGGTGCGGCTGTGAGTAGAAGCAGGAGCAGATGAGTGACAGCACGGACAGCTCCTTCATCTTCTCCTTGTAGGCTGTGGGCAGAGGCAGCGTGAGCAGCCCGCGCGCCTCCGCCGTCTCCCTCCCCGTCACTCCATGTCTCTCTACAGCCCACATCCCTCCATCTCTTCCCTCCTTCCCCTCCCTCCCAGAGGCCGACTGCGCCTTTCCCTGGGCACTCCTCCCTGTGGGCCAGCTGCACCAGTCTCTCTGCTCCTGTCCCGTACTCCCTGTCCGTCTGCTTCTCTCCCCTCCTTTTTCTTGGGATTCGTCTGTCTCTTCTACATGGCCCCTTCGGTCTTTTATT